ACATAAGTTTTTCACAATTTTTCATACTATGTTTCCACTAGCCTCTCTCCGTTCGCATACAAAATTTGGTGCCATATCGTTACACATACATTGAGAACTAGTCATGCATGCTGTTACAAATAGCATCGCTTGGGCGACGTCGCGCGTGCGGCAATTAGCGACGGCGCGGTTTGACGCGCGCGAACTCCAGTGTTCGCCTGTTGAGGCACATAACATGTCAAGATAAGTAGCGAGCATGAACTACCAATTTTTTTTCCGGGGCTCCGCCCCGGACCCCGCAAAAACGATTTCCCCTTTACCTTTTGGCCCCAAAACGATTTCCAGCTTGTCATTTGCCGACCTCGTGCCGGGCCCTGCTCGCGCATTGAGCTTTCTCGGTTTTCTTTCTCCTTTTTGACGTTTTCCTGCTATCAGATGTAAGCTTTCAATTATTCGAGGCGATTCCGAAAAGTACACGGTTGTTTGAGTGGTTTGAGGCCTTGTAGCATCCTACGTGCGCAATGGCCGCAAACTCACCGACTCTCGCAATCCTGCAGAGCCCTATAGCTGATTATGTGTGCCTGCATGGGCAGGTATTACTCATGATCTATCGATCCGATAGCTATATCTCGTACATATCACAGGAGATGGGCAAAGTGTGCTACCAAGAAGATTTTCAAATAGTTCCAGAGGTTTCAAACAGTTTTTAGGAATCTTGAACATATGAACACGACTTTTTGCCTTGTCAATGCGCAGGCGCGTATTTCGCAGTCGCAGTATCTATTGAGTAAGAGTAAGAAAGTTTCTACACTCTCTATTGCATTAGGGTTGGTATCAGAGTTGCACATCAAGAGAACATCTTAGGGTTGCTTTCCACTGCAATATAAAAGCGTAATAACGTCGTTCTTCATCAAAGTCACTAGAATGGAGTTGCTCCTCATCAAAGCGTCACAGACTGCTACCACTCTCGCAACACGAATTAGTGTTGCACGCTACCAAACCCGTCTCGATGTTGCTCCTCACTATACTTGGGTAATTCGAAAATTTTTCATCGAATGAATGAATATCGAATGAATTCAAAAAGGAGAAATTTCGAATAAACGAATATCGAACAAATTCGGGAAATCAAAAATATCGAATGAATGAATTTCGAATAAATTCGGAAAATCAAAATCGAATGAATGAATATCGAATATATTCGACATAGGAAGTCGAATTTCGAATAAATATTCGAATGATTTATCGAATAAGTAAAGCAATCACATCTCAAACTTGCCGACATATCTGGCTAGAGCCGATTCAATCATAATCAGCCCCCTAGTATCCCCTATGCCAACTCCTAGCTCAAAATTTTCCAAAAATTGCTAAAATCGAAAAAATAGATTTTGGTTTTAATCAGCATCCTCATTTACCCCCTGTACCAACTCCCAAGCTCGTAGCTCAAACTTCCCCAAAAATCGATAAAATCGGTCGGTCAGCATCTAGTCTATACATCAGCAAAAAGTCATATTTTACTTATTATGGACGATTTAAAAAGCAGTCGATATAAATTTTTATGCTGTCCCCAAAAAATTCTTCTTCAGATGGTCTGAAAGAGACTGATGTACACCAGAGTTATCTTTATTTCTTATCAGCATCAACAATGTAAAAGCAAAGGGCTTGCTCTACTTTCTACATCAATTAAAATCCATATATGATTTTTTTACTATCGCAAGCAGTCGGAAGAATGCTACTCTCCATACAGTTCAAAGGGATAACGGTTGCAAAAGATGCATTACCGAGTTTTGCGAAAAGAAAACGCGGACGAAATGAGCTTGATACTCAGCAGTTGGCTTTGCAACAAAGTCGAATAATCTGAATACGGAGTCATTCGAATACGAATTTGAATGAACATTCGAATAAAACATTCGAATAAAATCTATTCGAGACCCCGTTTTTTGATTATTCGAGTTTTCGAATAATATTCGAAACCTCGTTTTTTGATTATTCGAGTTTCCGAATTTTATTCGAAACCCTGTTTTTTGATTATTCGAGTTTCGAATATTATTCGAAAATGGAAGAACTCCGAATATCGAATTTCGAATACGAATATATTCGAATGATCGAATTTCTATTCGATTTGGACCCAAGTATACTCTTCACCATAAAAATATGTTACCATAGCATTGCTATCATTGTGATGGATTAAAGTCACTCCTCACAGATGTCGGGCGTACAAGTTCACCTTGCTTACTATCGTCGTTGATTCGTTGACCGCACGGCTGCTGAAACGCTGCGGACCACGCTCGGAGCGGTTGAAATGTTGGGAGAGCACGACTTGTACAACGGCGAATTTGTACTAAGGCAAGTATTTTGCCTTGCGGCGCGTGCTCCGCAGTGATGTCCAGTCCGTGCGGTCAACGAATCGACTATACTTTTGGTGCTGAACAAGACAATTAGGTGTGTAAACCACAGAACCAGACGATGTTGCTCGATGTTGCCACGCGAAAGTGCATCAGTCTGTAAGTTTGTAGTAGGAAGGGGCAAGAAAGGGCTACTATCGGTGCTAAGAAGTCGCATTTTTAGGGCAGTTTGATGATCCACTTCAGTTAAGGGGTTACCTGTCCAAGAGTATCAACATCTAAGACAAGCCGATTCCGGACGCTGCCTTTCATATAGAAAATAAGGTAAGCTTGCTTTCTATGATGACAAGCCTGGAATAGCCTCCTCACAAAATCAGCTAGGATTAACTATTTGCCCACTTTCACTGCTCACTTCTTTGGTGATATCAAGATGGATTGATGCTGCACACCACCAAAACACCAAAATTCGTTGTTACCATGATTATTGAGGTGAAGTTGCTCTCTAAGTTGACAGCACGGACTGGAGTAGCTCCTCACAAAGTAGCTCGAAGTCACAAGCTGCTCACTGCATGCGGAGCTGCTCATTACCAAGCATGTGGACTGGTGTTGCGCAACACCACAACAACTGAGGATTGTCCATCATCTTTGAGGTTGTTTTCTACCACAGCAACGCGAACTCCAATCACCATTTACAAAACGAGCACATGCCGCACATTGCTCACAGCTTAGCAACACGGACTCATGCTGCACACCACACGGATAGCTCGATGTAGTGTTGTTAACCACCAACACAAAAAGGCTGAAGTTGCGTTTCATCAAAACAAATACAGGGGCTTTCAGTCTGAGTGTCACAGTCGACGTGGTTCAACTCCTCGCGAGCCACGTCGCTTGGGGCTCCCATGTGGTTCAACACCGCACCAGATGCCGCGAAGGCCTTAACGGACGCGGTATTGTACCACGTGAGAGACCTACGCGAAGCGGATCGCAAGGAGTTGAACCACATCGTTCGTGACACTCAGACTGAAAGCTCCTGTATGGTTAATGTCGCTTCTCGCAAACGCCACTCGTAATCACTGTTGTTCACTACATAAACTATACGGATGGGTGCTGCGCACCACTAGAACAAGATAATGCTGTCCCCTATGATAATCGATTTTATTCTCCACTCTACCAACACTGGATTACTCCTCACAAAAGAAGCCCGCGTCACATGATCCTCATTAATCGAGGCAGCGTCCGGGCAGATATGAAATTTCAGCGTACAGGGGCTCCTACCCTGATAATGCTCCTGCTCAAGTGGTATTGCATCACTTTGCTTCTGAAGCGAGAAAACCGCGTCGGATGTGGCGACCGGACCGCTCCGGCAACTTGCCCGCTTCTTCAGCCGATAACCAGAGTACAGGGCTCGTAAATTGCAGAGTCGTTTGCAGCAGCGGTCGCGCGGCCTCGTCGCGCCCGGGCATCAATGGCGCCGCCTCGATCGATGGCGCCGGCGCCGGCAAAATGCCCTGGCGCGACGCGGTCGCGCGACCGCTGTTGCAAACGACTCTGCAATTTAGGAGCCCTGTCGCGCAAAGTCAAGGCGTAGGGTTCCACAACAACTCTGCGCGTCCATATTCAAAATCAACTGCTTCTGCAATAGCCTGTTCTCGACAATTTCCGACTCTGCAAGCTGCATTTTCGAAATCAGCGGGAAGAATAAACCCAGGTAAGCAAAAAAGTTTTGTTCGAAATTTTGCCCGGACGCTGCCTTCAAAGCTACAAGGATTAGTGTTGCACACCATCAGAACAACTTGACATGTTGTTGTGCACCTTCATTACTGGAAGTGCCCATCATGGCAACGTGGATTATATGCAAAGCAGCACAAATCACATGTTGCTCACTACCCATGCTACATCGATTGGTGTTGCACACCACCAGAACAACTCGACAGGGTGTTGTCCCATTATGATCGGAGGTGCCCATTACGCAACACGATTGTATACGATCCTCACAAAACTAGCGAATAACATGTTGGCTACAGAGTTTGTTCACCATAACGATTGAAGTTGCTCCCCATCACTGTAGCACCAACCGTGTTGTTCACCACCCAAGCAACAAGGATTGGTGCTACGCATTACCAGAACAACTTGTGTTGTTCCTATCAAGTTGCTCCACATCATGGCAACACTGAGATAATCGCTCCTTACGAAAGCAGCACGAATCATATGTTGCTCACTACTCACCCAAAAAGATTGTTGTTGCACGCTCGCAAAACATCCCATCTTTTTTTTAATGCCAAGGAAACAATTTGCAGATTGAAAATCTAAAATTAGGAGAAACAAGAATTGTTTGCCTATCACGTGCTGTATTTATAGCTCTAGTAATACGTTAACTCCACAGTTGCCAAGATCCTAGCTGCAGGCACATATTCAAATTATTTCCCGTTTTTGTTAACAGCCGTTGTTTGAAACTATGTTTACAAACAAAAGTACTGTAGGGATTGCAAAACATTTTCACCTATATGAAGCAAAGGCACAACTATAGGAATACCCGTGTATGTGCCCTTCCCGAAAAAAAAAACAACCACCGAAGATAAGCATTTTATTTGAATAAGAAAGACATACAACAATTAGTGCACTTCAATGCACTTCAAGTTACACAAACAATTCTAAAAAATCGATATATCGATCACATTACAGACAAATAGAGAAAACAGGTGAAATGATTGTGCAGATCAGGCCATGAGATCACATTTAGCAAAAGCCTATGGGATGGAGATGCACTTTTGATCTCCAGAACAAACAAAGATAAGAAAGATAAAAAGTGGAATACAAATGGCGAGATGATAAGGAAGTAGATCAAAAATGATATTATGGAGATTATCAAGGGAATCCTGAATATTATACCCGTGAGTGCAATAAATAAGAAAAAGTGGCAAACATGAGTGAGAGAACACAATTTCTGTACACATTAAAGCTTTGCAAAGAACAACTTGCCTCATAGAGAGGGGCAACGACTAGAATAATTAAGATTACGGTAGCTGCCGATGAGTAATGAATCCAATGAAAGAATTGAAACGAGCAGATAGCACAGGATAAAGTGACATTGGACTTCAAAGGTTAGGCTCCTAGACGTACCACTCTTTGAAATCTTTTTTACCACCTCCACCAACACCATTCTTTGCATGACCATTCATTCCATTTCCATTCGTTATTATAGCACCCTTCATTGACTGGTAACCATTTCCGTTCATCTGAAACTTTGGATTGGAAACTTTTGAAACTTTGGACTTCAAACGTTTAAAGGATTTTCTGAAGATAAAGCACATACCTGTGGGGCCGGCCGTCCCAGCAGCGGTTGCGTTGCGTGATCGGAACCGAGAGGAGGTGACAGCTCAGGTGCAATGGATGTGTAACCCTGTTGTGATTTGCCATTAGAAGCCTAGAAACTATGTGAATTTGCAGAAACATGAAAAATCACGAGTTTTCGTAAGCGCCGACTTTCTATTTCAGCTGAATGATCGACTTGATAGTCGCTAACTCTGAAATTTGTTTTTCCGAATCCTATCCCATGTGGAATGATTGAACTTCAACATTTTTCAAACGATTCATAGTAATCCTGTTGGCCTAAAAGGGATTGCCTCTTTCCCAGTAGTCCCTCTCAAAAATCTGTCATTCAAACTGACAGCTTTCGCGTTTATATTTCTCTCACAACTTGGAATAAAAGAAAATAAATCATCCCTCTTTCGATTATTTTTATTGAAAAGTATTTGAAATGTGACACCAATTTCATGTTTCTAACTGTCACGTGACGCACGCTCATGAGCACTTATTTTTGATGCTTTGAGCTTCCGTGTTGAATTTGAAGCTACAATTTTCTTATAACTATTCTTTTTAAATGTTTTACAGCATGCAACGAGCACATGTCACGTTTCTAAGAAAAACTGGTTAATTACTGCTTTAGTATCTCAATAATGTACATCAAAAAGATGAAGAAATATTCAAAATCGCTGAGCGTGGCGAATTATTACACAGAGCTAACTTTAGCGCTTATTGACTACTTTAAAGAGATTTAAAAGATAACCAAGAACAATTGCTTTGGAAATTAAAGAAGAAGAACATACATCTTTTTGCAAAAAATTTTAAAAAGCAAAACAGTTCCTAAATTAGTTTATGCGATTAAGCAAAAAAGATCTTGCAAAATATTTGTATACTTGAGTGCAAATCAAACAATCGAATATCAGCATTATAGTTATTGACGCAGCACCAACTCAGATGAAAAATGCAAACAAAACGTTTTTTCCGCAATATCGAATTCTTAATCCCAATAATTTGCAGACTCAAATTGCAAAGAAACCAACTATTTTTGTCACCAATCACTCAGTGATTAATATTCAGACTTAGCAACAACTACTGATACTCGGGTAGTTGCGCAGATTTTTAGATGATCATATCCTCGACGAACTTCTGCTAGACAAAAATTCGAACTATTCCGGAAACCAGAAAGCAAGTAACATTCATTTGCTCGAGAATCAAAGTCGCATGTGAAACAAAAGCTTGTAGAAAGGGTGTCATTCAGAAACTCGAAGCAGTTTTGCTCAGCTTACAAGCAGTATACCAAAAAATCAAACTTCGCTCTTCTCTTACCTTCTTTTCCCCCAAATATGCAAATCAGACTTACGCCAAAAAATTGTAAAACTCACCATCGGATAGTGATCCCCGGGTGGTGGACTCTGCCGACAGCGAAATACGCAAAAGACGACGACAGCTATGATCATGATGACGGACACGGAAGCGATGCTAATTAGAGCTGTTCTTGGGAAATCCGCCGCTTCGGAAGCCTAAACCAAATTCTGCATTGTAGTTCAAGGACCGTAAAATCAATAAAATAAGAAGAAGAGAAATAAAGTTATTACATGTGCATAATTATCAAAACAAGAGTCTTCGTTCCAAAAAAGCAGATTTTGATTTACAACTTGGATACGATGTAAACACAAAAAGAGTAGTGAGAAGAAATTGTAGAGTAAGGTAACCAGAAAAACCTTTTCTCACGACATCAGCTACATTACCTTATCCCTGCCTCCTCCCCCTAAAAACAGTTTCGAAACGCTGAAATTCGCTCACCATCCGTAAAGAACGGAGCAAAAGTAACTAGCGCTTGCGAATACCTATCGAGTTAAACGGCATTTCCACTTTGACTTCTCTATTCCCGCCTCCAGATTGATCTCAAAAACTCAAAAAACTGCTCCCAAACCCACCAAGTCAGGTTAACAACAGAAAAACTTGGTAGCTTTGCAAATTTCTCAACATCTCAGAGCCCACGCGCGCCACTAGTCAGTCAAAAGTGCAAGCAACAAGTGACATTTTAGACATATAGCTTGTTTCCGGGGCAATAAAATGAATAGCTAAACAGTGGAAGTGGAAGAAAAGTTGCCCATTTTTGGGAGATAACAAAAAGAGATTTATTGGTGAGCATTTGTAGAATAGGAATTGCAGAATTTTAAGTGCACTGGAAACTATCGTAGAAGCGGCGGAAAATATAGTGCGCTACTGCTTGAGCTTTATAGAATCTGCAGATTTTCCCGATTCTGTCGCTGTATATAGAGATCGTGCGGCCCCCGCCTACATTCGCGGATAGAAGTGCCTTAGGCCTTGGGCATACCTCACGCTTTGGTCGCGACGAAATTTGGCAGTACTCCAATTGTTCACAACTTATCATAAGATCTGGATGTAGGAAGATAGGGCATTTTATTAACCTACAAAAGTTATACATGATGTGCACTTGCCAGCATCGAATTTGAAGTCATCTGGCAAATTGCCAGATCGCATGGCGACTGAAATCGCGTGAGGTATATCCACCGCCTTAGGATTGTCGCGATGATAATCGATTGTATCGATTTATCAATTTGTTTATAGTTTAAACAATTACTAAATTATATATGTGCATCTGATCTAGATGATCATTAGAGTCACTCAGATAGTAAATCGTACAACGTGCCCCTAATCTAATCACTACTCTCGTACTATAGGTATACTATAGTAGGGGTTCAAGTGCACGAAATCAATTTTGCACTTATAATTTCATAATGACTTAACATCGAAACTTGCCGACCATTGGTAGAGTAATTAGTCTTTCAAAATGAGCATCCTTACAACTCAATTGCGGTATGCAACATACCGTAATCCTACACATTCTTCAATTGCTCCGCCGTAATCCAAATTACAAAAACCCGCAAATAACTGTATAAACCCTATAAAACATCTTTTACCGTAACCGACAGTACTCCTTCAGCACTTGACGTTCATTGATAGCGTTCAAAAGCTGCCCAGAATCTGGATAATGGACTTCTCATTTGGTAACTGTTTGAAAGATTTTTACTACGTCCCTGCCTGAGTATCAGCTCATTTTATTTATATTGCCCGAAAAAGTCCGTTTCAGCTCTCCCCATTGGAGTACGGTCGAGAATACAGTCTGGGAGAGGAGTAAGCCAGATTTGCCAAAACACTGCCTCCAAGGGCTGAACACTGTGTTTTCTTTTCCTTATTTTTACAATATCCTCAACTCTATATACAGTTATCTTCTCTCCCCCCCCCCCCACCTTCCCTGCCCCGCCTCGCCCACATATGGGTACAAACAACAAATGATTGTTTTCGTAATATAGACAACAAAGCAGGGCTTAGCCAGAGCTCAGGCTTCTCACACATTATGCTTGAACAAAACACACCTTGGCGCTGACTAAGAGAGCAGATCTTTTGTTCCCCACACTCTCGCCTACGATACGAAGCCGTTTGCTATTCGAGAGCAAATTTCGTTACGTAACAATGGAAAATGTTCGCCATCTAGACGCCAATGCAATTTGCTTAGTTGGTATGTGATTTGGACAAAAAATTAGTCGCGAAAATTCTGCACTTTCATACATGGCTATTGCTGTTTATAGAGTTTCTAAGTCGAAAATAGAGGCCCTAATCAATTTCGGAGATAGTCTTATCTATTTAGAAAGTCTAGACAGCAAGGAAAGTGCAAGGAAAAGGAAAGTTTTGGCAAGTCAGTTATTTCTTGACATCTTTTTTCATATTAACGAAGCCAAGAACCGATTTTGGCGTTTCCTTGTACCAAGATCTCAATCGATTCCACCGTACTTCGTCAAATCAAATCATCTGCAATTGATGCATTGCAGATTTATATATATTCAGTGCGTATTATTATGGGTATGAACTTTATGGCACCTTCGTGCCTAACTTTCAAGTGTTCCTTTCTTGCAAAAACGTGCAATGTATAGGTATCAATTTTTGACAAAGCCGAAAAAGTGAAGGGGGAAAAGAGAGAAGAGGTAGAAAGGCATAATTTTTTTTACGATTGTTCTAGCCCATTACTCCAGTCTCACTGGATGTGGTTCGAGGATATGCGCAGGGTAATTTCAAAGCTTAATCTTCCACATGACTACTCTAGGCAAGTAAGTAAACAAAAATATGGGCTTGTTTACGGAATCGGTTTCAAAATTTGACTGAAGTTTTGCGATTTCGAGATAAACGTTATAGCATGGAGCTAGAAATGCTTATTTGCAAGAGCATTCGGATCGCAGAGCAAAAAGTTTTGCTCGTAAAGTAAGGCGTTTTGTGGACCTTATTCAGTTATTTACCCTTATAGCGTACTCAAAAATCTCATTATAAAAGATAATTAGTGCGCCAAATCCATACAAAAGAGCAGAAAATCTCTGAATAATCCTAGTCAGTTTGTCTAGGAAATTTTCTAGGAAATTTCTCACCTTCATCGTTGTCGTAATTAAATCCCCCATCGGAGTAGTCGGGCGCACAGCATACACTGTAAAAGGCGGTGTTGTTCGAGGTTTTGCCAGTTTTGCGGTCGTAGCCGATAGAAATGTGCTGAACGTCGCCGCAGTGGATTTTTCTAGAAACAGGGGTTGAATTTCGAATGTGAACGGACGTAATGTATTTATGAAGAAGTTAACCACATAAACAGACAGACAGACGGACAGACGGAGAGCCACATGCGCATGCACTGCAAGCACACACAACACACCACCACACACATATGGCGACCGTGTGTGCGGTCCGCAGAGCCGAAGGACTTAATTGTCGACGGCTGTCGCGGGTTCATAAATCGCATTTATTGGCGGTTAATTATGGGGAGACCATAGAGAAGGGTTTTTTCTCGCATTTCAAGATGGAAATGGCTGAGGCGCTTTGGCGCGGAGCCAAGGAAGGGTGATATTATTGTAATAATTACAGTATTTGCAAGTCAAAAATTGATAACCGATTGCTAGTGCGCCCGAAAAAAGAAAACAGACACAAAAATTAGTCAGTTCAGAGAGATCTACAAATCCACGTAAATCTCCTGAGAATCGATATCAAATTATCTCACAATCCACAAAGTTTTTATTGTATCAAAAATTCTCATAACAAAAGAAAAACAAAAAAAAAGCTCCAGTCCTTTTCGTAATCTTCATTATCTCTGTGGTTATTTGAGAGCAAACTTTTTGAGTTTTGTGTTTTTCTATGATATGCTTTGAAATAGCCTCATGACATCATTTTTCGCATGATTTTCATAATTTGAAAAATTTCTGCTAACCCATGTGGAATAGCGCACAGCTAATTTGCCTCATATCTTTTCAAGTAAAATCAGTGTAGCGTGAAAATTTTTCGAATCGTTCAGAATATGAGGGATTTCAAGACTAATTGGGGTATCGATTATGCATTTTCAAGATTACTAATGTATACAATAAGATTTGCATGAAATGACGCGAACACCTTGATTGCTGGTACAGGATTTTCAAGGGGGCGAGGGAAGAGAAGGGAAAAATACTGCGAAAAAATGTAAAAAATAGTTTGCAATAAGAATTGAGCAGCTCGAAAATGTTTTTTGATAACGAGAAGCTTCAGAGAATGGAAGCAGACAACAAAATTCTACTCTTTAGATGCTGTAACTCGATATGCTCCACTTTTGATAGTCCGACTTGCGTACGACGTTCAAGTGGAACGTTGGAAAAAAATAAAATTAGTAAATGCATTCCTCGAATTACAAATCTGAACCAAAATTCTAATAGGAAAAAGTAGTGAGGTTGTCCGAAAGGTAAAAGTCGAGAAAGTTAAGATTTAACCGCGCTTTTTTTCAATCTTTTTCCGTTCGCCTCTGACTACTGATAGCAAGACAAAAATCAGAATGGAGTGAAAAATTTCCATGAAATAAGAAAAATTTCTTGAGAACTATAGTTCATCCATTAGCTAATGGCTATAGGCCGAAGAAGAAGGCACAGAGCGCCTCAGAAAACTTCCTAAAGCTACTTCGATTTTCATAGAATTCATAAACATTCTCAGTATTCAATGTAATAAGTTACTTGCATAGCTCAGAAAAAAAACTCAAAACCCTACAATGAGCATTTTTCGAAATTTGTTGGGGGGGGGGGGGGAATAAGGATTTTCCAAAAGTTGCAAGTGTGCTGCAGCCAGCAGCCATAAAGGCTACTCTATTCGAACATTTTGCATATTTCCAGGCCTTGCAAAGCACTTTCTCGTCGGCAGTGTTAATTTTAGCGCTGAATCAAAGAGCTTTTCGTGAAATGAGGTCGTAGTTGGTGTGTAAGCACTAAGTACATTCTGCTGAATGCGCAAGCCACGACCAATGGTGCAGTGGTTAATCCTCCCTAATTGCTGTTTGAAATGTCATCAAGGTCATTTCGGATTGATTTATTGCTGAAATTCATCGTTAACGAGCGAAATGTGCGGTTTTTCCGATGGCCACCGAAAATCAGAGCGTCAATTACGGTTACGGTAGAATGAAGGTCATTGTACGAAACGATATTGCTTTACGAAGACGAAGACTATAGAAATAAGGCGGAAATAATTTGCACCATTTTTAACAAAAGTTTTTATTCTTGAGATTAGATAATCACGGAAAAATCGAAAATAAATTTGAATAATGAAAAATTACGTTAAGTACGCGCTTACTGAAGATTTAGCTCATAGTAATGACTGAATGGTTGAGATCTTGATAGCAATCGCGACATATTTTGCAAGCATAGCTGAAAAGGGGAGTGGCAAGGGCGGAGTTACGCAATTTTGTAATCTGAACTTTCTTCCGCAGAACTTGCCCTGTAAATGCTAGCTTTGGGATTTTTCAGATTTCACGAATGAGAGGCGTGTCATTAGTCTCTCCAAGAATTTTCATAGGATTCTCAGAGTTTACAGAAGCTTAAAAAAGTATGAAAAATGTTTACATATCAATTTTGAATTTTGATGAATTTTACAAAATTATGTCAGTTACTCATAAACATAAATCATAATTTTTCAAAATAAAAAGAAGTTTTTCATTACAGTTTCTGAAGTGGGTAAGTAGGTTATTTAACGACATTTATCCGAGACTTCTGAGATAAAATTCAAAAAAAGAAGAAAGGGGAAGATGGTACACAATTTCTATCAGGCGGATCTTCTACACCAGCTTTTTTTTTGCAAAAAAAGAAAAAACGTGGCAGTCAGATAATGTAAGATAAGTGGTCTAAATGTGCTGTTTTGCAAAAACAAGGAACGGAAAGGAAATCTGAACCCAGAGCACTCGCCCACGCTCAAAAAACTCTCTTTGCAGCATATAAAGCCTTGCATATGAACACTTGAACCCATATTAGGAGGTTGGAGCTCGCAGACACTAAGAAGTGTAAACAAAAAGGCTTTCAGGAAGCCAGCATGCATGACAAATTCATCGGGTTTCGGTTGTGTTGGAGAGGGAGAGACACGGCTTAAGCAAGGTTTTCGGACAGGAAATGGATCATTTAGGGGAGGAGGGGGTAAAATGGATATCAATAGGGTATATGAACACTTTTTTGGTGCCAGAACAACTCGTCCAAAGTCTAATAATTTCGGAACGCCTTGGACGAATTGCCACAGCCTTTTAACTAAGAACAGCTAGTCCTTTCTGAACAGACTTTCATACAAATTAACTAGGAAAATTGGTGCCGACAACGGCAGCAGCGGGGACGCCAGTCGGCAGCGCTGCCAAGATGGATTAGTGGACGAGATGCATTGACGCGACTTCAGTGCCTCTTATACCTCGTACATAGAAAAAAACCTACATCACCATTAGGTAGCGCTAAGTCGCATGAAAAAAAAACTAGATTATCCCCATTTTAGCAAAAATTCCCCACTTTTATCCCATAATCAGGCAGAAAATTATGTTCAAAATTCGATTATAGGGCGAATTCTTTTTTCCCTGCAGGACACAGAAGGCGCTTGTGAACATCATTTAATTTGTATGCAAAAGCATGCTTTTGACGACGATAATAAGCTTTCAGAAACATTACTGAGAGAGCTTTTGCTTGGCTACATAATCGATTGCAGAAAATTAACAGCAAGAGAGCCAGAGCGAATGCACCTGCTCAAAAAGTATAAGTTAATCTGTGGGAATGAAGCGAACAGGTGGAATGGGAAAAAAACGGAAGCGTATAGTGTACAAATCTTATTAGGAAAAGTCATTTTGATTCCCATATTTTTATTATCTTACCAAAAAAAATTCAATGTACAAAAATTTTCTGATATCTATTCATATGAAACAGTTAAATGCTTTTAAGTGGAAAATAGATTATATATATAATTCAAGGCAGATTTCAATCGAAGGATTAGAATTTGAATTTGGAAAAATTATAGAATTGCGAGATTACTAGTCATTAACAAGAAAAAAAGCGCCGTTTATCGACTTTGATGATATTTACGCTGTCGTTGATTAGCTCGATTTAGAAGTTGCAAAATCTAAATAGCATTTACGAGAAATGCGAAAAAACAGAGACGAAGAATGACAATCTTCTCGCGATTTTAAAATAAAAATGCTTAGCAGTTTTTGGTTTCAAGTACGGCAAAAGCTATGCTACCAAGTTATACGAGAAGGAAAGAAATCAGCTCTTCCAACTACATGCTTTTTCTGTTTTGTTAAAGTAGGAAAACTAGCATTTGTTCGTAGGGAGAAGTGAGAGTGGGGAGTAGGAAAACGATTCATCAAAAATTATGTTTCAGAACGAAGATGGGAAATTTCCAAATCAATTTCCTACAATTTTGCAAAAAAGTTGTTTGACCAATGCCGCAAATTTTTGTTTTCACGAAAGCAAAACGCTCATCACAACTTTACTATCACATTCACTGCATATAGGAGTGATATTTACCAGTGATGGTCATGAAATATTTTGCGGGCTACGGAGAGGGAGGAGGGGGAGGGGAAGAACACTGATGCCCACTAACTAATGCAAGTAAGTAAATCAAGATGCAGAACGAAACGATACGAGAACTTCAGCTCTCTTTTGAAGCAGAAAATGGGCCTCTCAATCAAGAAAATTGTGTGCATAGGCTATAATCTCTCAATCATAAGGTGCATATTATGCATACGCTATGCTCAGCGAATATCGCATGCTAAGAAAAAAGGGGGAGGGGAGGAAGGGAGCATTAAAAAAGAGATCGTAAGAAAATAAGGGGGTAATTTAGGGAATTTCTATTAGAGCTAAAGTAAATCCCTTTGAAGAAAACGTGCTCACGCATCCGCACGCGTCCCGTTGCGTTGCGGTCCCTTCATGCAAAAACAAGTTGTTTAATATTGTCACTAAGTTAACCTTGTAAATTATGAGATTTGCAAAGGACAGCGTACTTGAACTTTAGAAAAAAAATTCTAACGCCAAGAGTCCCCTGGATTCTGATCAGATTCCCATAGAATTCTTGCGCTAAGACATACTAAATCGTCTCTCAGACTTTTCTGCATATGGCTCCCTGTGCGCCAGAGACCGCTACGCAACGGTGCGCGGGGCGTATGCGGCGCGAACGTGCGCTGTTCCAAGTACAATAATGCTTGGACTACTGCAACAGAACGTATTTCTGTGATAAAATATCTTTCAAGTAATGATTGGAGGAGGGGGAGGGGCAGGACAGGCGCAAAGTTGTTCACATCGAGGGAAGTAAAAAACAGGATATTTTGACCTGCTTTTGAGTCGAAACTTCCTCCATATTTTATCCTTTTCAACTTCACTCTCCTCCCTCACCTAACTTTTTTCTTACCAAAGCAAAAATTTTTTTGAAAAAAGCAAGCTGGTGTATGTAGATGAATGCTATCCCTGCTAGATGTGTGACAATTTCCGCATTGTCTCAAAACGCAATAGGTGCGAAAATTGCCGGAAGTTGGACGCAAGTTCCGATTTCAGTGGAAATTACCCTCCGACAATAAATTGCACAAAATCTCACGCATTCCAATAGGTTGAAAAATGATAAACTTTGGTGTTTTGCAGCGGGTTCAAGAAATTATTTGCAAAAAGTTATGAAAAACAAAAATTCTACGACTTTCCGCCATCAAACCTTTGTAACTTCCTTTATGGTTTCACTAAGAATGTTTCGGAAGACAAATTAGCCCTTCAGCATTTCCAAGGATAATATGCTGGCTATGAACTATGGACTTTGCCCCCCGCCACCTCGTCTCGAATTCTTCACTTTTACGCATTGAAGGTCTGCATATTCTACTGCAAAGCATAACAAAGTCTTGTTGAAAAAAGTTCTACTGACACCTGTCAGCTGTGGAAACGAAAGCATGCATCTCACTCAGAGTACGGAACTAGAAGAATATGTAGTTAATGTTTGTCAAAACAAAACATCAAACTGCCCAGTACAATGGCTGAACTGGGCTATTTCTCAGACTGTAATTCATAGAATTCTTCAGTGGACGAGAGATCCAACTCCAAATCCCAGCCCAGACCGTACTGTTTTCTACCGTACTCGAGCACGCTGATTGGTCCGCTAAGAACGAATGGACTTTTTTGAGCAGTACAAGAAACAATACGCTCTTCCTATAACCACGTAAAATTAAAACATATAAGCCGTAAAGATGTCATTTGAGCGGGGTAGGGGGGGGATGGTGGGATAGAAAATCCTTGTATCATAAAGGCAATCTTGAAGTTTGAATCGAAGGGCTTAGTTTTTAACAAGAAATAAGATATCAACTGATTCGAAAAATTGAAAGAAGTTGCACACGAACTTTCGCAGTAAAGCATGATTGTAACTTTGAGATATTCGATGAAGTTTCCATGATTAGTAGAAAAAATCTAGTGAAATCAAAGACTTCTAGGAAGAAGTTTAATTAGAATTTTTTCTTCAAACGAGCGTCTTCTCACATAGGCGAAATGCTGAACGAATCCTTATTTTCTGGCTTTCTACTATACATTTGATTTCTATGGATTAGCTCTTTGAAGGATGTAGCCGTTTTTTTACTCCTGGTGTTTTCGAAGTATTCATTGGAACACTAGCGTGAGAAACGTGAAAGAAACGACAAAAGGCAGATATCAAATGCATGGGAATTCTTGAAGAAAATTCTAGTTCCGCTTTAAACTTTCGCCTTTTTAAGAGGAACTCTAGACTTGTCACTGTGCAAAATTTTCACTTTCTAATCGCACAAAAAGCTTTGTCGCACCTCTAAACGTACTATTAACACCGAATCTTTCCCCTAACAAACATTGAAGCGAAAACTAAAAACTACATCTGGTGACTGACGAAGACGACGTCGATGATGGGACGATGACGATGACGACGAACTTTGTTGAAGAATTCTCATTCTGCAAGACACCCGTAGACACGAAACCTCTAAGAGAGAGTCGAAGGACGCATACGCACACGGCACACATAAGAGACGTCATCAGAGACTCATAAAACACTCACTAAAACTCAGCCGTAAAAACATATCGATAGCGCTTGTAGTAGTGGTAAATATAAAAATCAACTAAGGATGGAGCAAAAAATCTCCCCTACTAGCTCTCCTTTCACACACAGGCACTCTATACATAGAATAAAACCATATGAATCTAGTAAAGCACAGCAAGCTCTAGCCACCAACCGGCGAACGACGGCAGCGTAGGCGTCGCTTTCGTTGTTTTGGTCGTTTTCAGCACAGGAACGCGTGGTGTGTACGCCTTCAGTGGTTTCTTCCTCAGTACTGGTGCCACAACTGTGGTACGTGGCCTCGCAACTGCGGCTTTGGTAGTGCTGGTGGTGGTGATGGTGTTGATGGAGGTGGTGTTCTTGGCTGGATTTCGCCATAGGACCCTGTTTGCTTGACGTGGCTCTGGTAGTAGGTCTACACTAGCCCAGATACTGTCACCTAAGTAGTCAGGATTTTGTTTGGCTGCCTCACGAACACTCTCATACGGTCTCGGGAGTACCGTAACCGCCGCCGCCGCCGTGCGTGGCGGCGGTGTTACGGTAGTGGCGTGCATTAGTGAAGGATGAGGATGAGGATGAGGTTTCGTGACGACGGGTGCCGACGGTACGGATACGGTAGTGGTGGTTGGAGTCGCCTCTGCAGAAACCTCATAATCAGCGTCATAGTCAGAAAGATAGATAATACGAGGGGGTTCGACGGTGGTCGTGATTGCTGAACCCAGAGTCGATGATTTCGCTGTTGTTAGAAGAGTACTGGGCATAGTGCGCACGGTGCTGATTGAGTGGGTTACGGTAGTGCGTGCAGTGGTTACGGTAGTAGTGGTAGTGAATGGTTGGGTCTGATGGTGGGCTGCTTTGCTCGACTCACCCTTCGAATGTACAGCTCGTCTCGGTGCCGTGGCAACTGATGGAAGTATCGGTGTGAAAAAACCTGAAATTAGAAATTGCATTAGACATCGTGAGAAAGCAATTTTTTTGCAAATATTCCATTAATTGTGGGAATTTTGTGCATTAATAGACGTAAGCAATCTACTCAGACAATCACGGGAACTTCCGTTGGATAAAAAAATATGTGCATCGATTGCACAATTCAAACTGAACTCCAAAGTGGGAACTCCTATAGGATTTGATGTCTCCCCAATTGAAAACGGAAACTTCTGCAGCACATCCCAAACAAATGCTGCTTACAGCTCGTTCCCTGAATGTCCAGCGGAACTACCCCTCAGCTGTCTGAGTTAACTATAACAACTTTTTTGGAAGACTTTTTACTACAGTCTCTAAGCCACATATAATACTTTTCTCTGGTTGTGGTGCCCCTTTTGAGACTGACTGATTACTTCGGTTATTTGTCTTTTCCTTCTTCCATTTATAATTTTTATCGCTTCATCCATTCAGATCAAATAACTACAATTTCGAATTTACCTAAATTCTTACAAGTTTTATCGCTTCTAAAAATTGTTTAAGATGATTACAATAGCTACCTATCACTCTTTGGAAAATTTCATTTTTGATAAAATCCCGTATATACTATACTTTTCCTTCCGATACAAACCGCGGCACGATTTTCAGCCATCCGTGATACGATTTTCCAGTATTTATTTGTTTCGAAGTTGAATCAAAAGCATGACAACTTTTTCGTTTCCCACGACAAAACTTTAGGTTTCAACAAGCGCCCAAATTCTGCTAAGCTGCCAACCACGATTGATTGAGACAATGAATGACAATAAATTCCAGACAATAAATTCCCAAATCACTCTCATCAAGTTCCTTGCACCATACTTATTTGTTAAGCTAAACTGATAGAAATCAAAGAAAAAACTGGACCAAGCAAAAAAGAAACCTATTTATTCTTCTATTAGGTTGAACCGAAAGTTCTGTCGCACCATTTTCAAAAAATCATAACTTCTTTCGGTCATGACGATTTTGCGCAATTCAAATTTTGTCTGAAAGCGTAAATCATGTAGTTTTCAACAGTTCCCTGGGTACCTTCTAACATGCAAAAATGAAAGAACGAGATCATCCGAAATTCGGAATTTTTAAGCAAAAATTCTAGAAATTCAGAAACTGTGCGATAAAATCCAGAAAAGCCATTATCCTAATTTTTCTTACATTTGACTACTAACTGAGTCAAGTTTGTGCTGATCGAGGTCTTCTTTCAAAAGTTATGAATTTTTGAAAAAAAATGCCAAAAAATCCATTTCTTAAGAATCCTTAGAAAATTGATTTTTCGGCATTATTTTTAAAAAATCATAACTTTTGAAAGAAGGGCTCGATCCGCACGAACTTGACTCAGATAGTAATCAAATGTAAGAAAAATTAGGATAATGGCTTTTCCGGATTTTATCGCACAGTTTCTGAATTTCAAGAATTTTTGCTTAAAAATTCCGAATTTCGGATGATCTCGTTCTTTCATTTTTATCTCTGCCACCTGAGAATATCGGAAACTCCCCAGGGAACTTTTGGAAACTACATGCTTTACGCTTTCAGACAAAATTTAAATTGCGCAAAATCGTCATGACCGAAAAAAGTTATGATTTTTTGAAAATGGTGCGACAGAACTTTCGGTTCAACCTAATATTTTGCGCTTATGTCAATCACAACCTTTTGTACTTCATAAGTTTCTATTGCACAAACATTGCAGAACACCTCTGATTTCATTATAATGTGTGGTAATCATAAAAATGATGTATTTGAAGTTGTTAGATTGAGGAATATCTCAATTTCCTGGAAAAAATATAACATATTAACTGCACTGAGGCAGCCATCCTGTAGATCAAATTAATGCAAAAACAAAATTTTGAAGATAAAAAGCAAACCATCATCAAAATCACTCGGTCGCTCATCCAGTGGATTATGCTCAAGTGCCAATGGCGATACAGTATCGGCTAGCTCATCATCACCACGATTGATCGCTGACTTGGCGCGATTTCGCGCCAAATCATGCGCACGCGCTTTGTTCACATCGTAGTTCGGGGCGAATCGCGGTGGCGGTGGCGCATTTAGACGACATTTCGGCGAATGCCAATCCATCAGGCACAATATTGGCAATACCGTACTCGTCATGATCATCCTCCATCAAGTGGGCGTGGCCTGACGCAATTACGGACTATTTGTTTGCGTTACGCGGACGATGGATCGACAGATCGCGTTACTAACGAGATTAGGAATTACTGAGTAGGGAAAGATTACTGAATGCAAGATTTGCACTTGGCAAGGACAATTTCTGGAAAAGATGGTTGCTACTGAAGCAAGGAGAGCGAGGACGGTGTAAAGCAATATTTTGAAAATAGGGGGCCATTTAGACCCGCCCGACACGACCCGAACCCGTAGCGGATTACTGGATTTAGTGGCCATTTGCAGCGCCTTGGATAAGTGGCACTAAAGGGTGCGAAAGCGTAATGTTCCCTTTGAAAGCTATAAATTTGGGAAACGACTTGGAAATAACTACGTTTCGAGCTATAAATAAATATTAAATGTGAAAGCGTGTCGCGCTAGCAGAAATTTGTTTGACTTAATTTTATGACTGAACTTCATTTTTGTTTGAAAAATTCCACCTTAAATTGACAATTTTTATCTCAAATTCTTTTTTCAATGAAAATTCAAACTTCCAAGCGTTCTGGGACATGATCTAGACCTTTTCAACAGATGATTTTTGTTATTTGAAAGAGCATTGATCGATGATCCGAAGATTCATAGAGATTTATAAGAAAAAAAAGAACGACTTTTTGAACAGGGAAGACAAAGAGACACAAAAAATAATTTTCCTAACAGAAGTCGTAATGCCTGTTACTTTAAAAAAATCGTCCAGCGCAGACACCTTTGTATACCATCTCTTGCCCAATTACTCAAAATGCAATGAACCATTCGAAAATCAGCAAATTCAAGCTGGAAAAGCTCGAGGGTAATGCTTTTTTCCTCATTGTACTTCAAAAAGCTAAGGCTACTCAAACTCTTAGAGAATGCCAAAAGAGAATTATGTTACTACGATTTCTGTTATCAATTGTTCGAGTGAGCAAAATCCAAAATTTCTTGGAAAAAATTGCATGCGGAGTACTGAAAAAGGTTGGGAGCTTAAACTTTGTTGAATGGTTAACCAAGAACAAAATATTGTAGAATGTAAATAATAATTTCTTATTTACTCTGCCGTTTACAGTTTACTTTAGCATGACTAGAAAGTAGCTGTAAGAGCTGGCAAACACAACGCCAAAATCCATGAGAATATAAACTTATCATGAGTTTTGAGTTTAATTCGCAAAAGGAATAGCTACGTGACCTCCGCAAAATTTTTGGATGTTTTCAAAAATCTTTTCAGACCCTTATCCCCAAATTTCAAGGAAGGGAGACGTAGAGGTAGCGCCAGAGCGAAAATTTCTTTGACAAATCTAATTGAAGTTTAGAAATTTTCTAAATGTCACTGTAATTGTCAAGTGAAGAGTTACTGCGAAGAGTACCGAGGTTTACTTTTCAAGGTTTCGCAATTTCATACCGTAGGCATTACGGAGAGGAGCGAAGGTAACAACAAAACATCAAATTTGTGAGAATTTTGCGCTAATTCCGACTGCCAAACAAAAATAGAAGAACAGATGCGTACAGATGAGCTTTTACGTCGAAAAAATTACTTTATATAGGTGGAATTTTGAAAATGAAATAAGTTGAAGCGCTTAAAATATCTTGTATGTATACTAAGCACAAGCTCGGTTAAGTAGCTCGAGAATCGATGCCGAGTGACGACGATTAAATCGGATACTGTTTGGCACGTCGCGGTAGGTATGGTTATAAATCCGTTTATGTTGAGTGGAAAACAAATTAAGTATGACACTTCGGGTCCCCACGCGATGGGATCTGCGAGAGAAATCGGATTACGGACCAGTGGTCGCAATTGCACGGATTGGTGACTCAAAAGTAAATTGGAGTTACTGTGATTTTGAGGAAAAAAGAGGAGGTAAAAAGGGAGCACGAGGAGAAACAGCAGATTTTTGCAAAAAACGTTTTACAATCACGAAAGAGCAACTTTTTATTGCAAAAAACGAGTTTCAGAGTTTTCAGAAAAAGCCCCTCCCCCTTGCTGCGTCCCCATGCCAAAGCAAAACTTTGTTCCCATAGAAATATACCCTGAGGCCAGACTACTAGTCTGAGAATACATCAAAAAAGTAATTTCCTGCCGGCTCATCTGACTTCGCCTCTATAATTGCCAACGAAATCAAAAATGCTGAAAAACAAAAAAGTTATTTGGTGCCGGCTTAATGATATAATGGAGAATTCCATCCTATGGACATATCGGGTAAACATATCATCCGTTTGGGTGCTCTTCCAGAGTCAAAACATTACAAAACTCATCCATTTGGGTATACATAAAAAAGCAAGAACCTTCTTTCTCTATCCCTTTCAACTAATTTGTCAGGGGTTTTTAAATAAAAGATGGCAAAACTTCAAAGAGAAAGTCCTCAGTCTTCTGAGCCTGCAATTTACTTTGTATGAATTTGCGTGGTAAATGGAAGGGAAAGAGTTGAGGAGGATGAAAAATAGTGAGAAACAGACGATAAAATCAGTGACATATGAATAAGCTTATCTTTGCTCTATTTGGATTAAGCAAATCTTTGCCCGACTTTAAGACTTTCAAAAGTTTAGCATCTATGTCAATTTTGCACATTATACAATTTATTTTACGGCCTGCACGTTGATTATGGCAAAAATTATAGAATAAAATGAACAAGGATGGCAAACTGTTATAGATTCTTCTTGATTTGAAAAATAGAATGAATACTTTGCTTGCTCTTGTAGTTTAGTAAGTTTGAAGATTATTTTGGTGCTTGCAGTGAGAACAGCATTTATGCGTGAAAAATAGTCATGGCAATTTTCCTCACGTGCAACTGTTATTAAAACAGCAGAGGCACTGTAGTAGGCATTAAAACTACTGGGCTACAGGGTCCT